ACAGGCAGCTATTCCCCGCCGCAGAGGGAGGCTTTGGAAGTATCAACAACAGACACTCAAAGACTGCAACATCACCTTTTCCTTGGAAAATATCGTGACATTCTTGGCGCTGGCACCCTTTTTCACTCAGCAGCCAAGAAATGTAAAAGTTTCCCTGAGGAGACCCAAAAATTGTCCGTGAGAGAGGCCACCAGGAGCCTCTATCCTAAAACCTGGCTCTGGGTAGAAGACACAGTTTTTGATTTCATTTTGCTTGCTTCCTTAAAGCAGAACCACTGGGGCTCAAAGCAGTCACGATTCCCTTGCCAGAGCTGCTGAAAGGTGAGATGCCTGGCACACGCAGAGGGGGAGTGGGAGCACACGCCGAAACACATCCAGCCTTTGGCTCTGCGCTTCCCAAGGCTAAGATCCTTCTAGGGTACAGATAAGCTCAGTCAGGCAAGCACAGAGTGTGCCCAGGCCTGCTGCTAAGACACCCTTGAAAAGAAGGGATACTTGAAAAACAGTCAGCTAATGTCTAAAGATTCCTGTTCATCCTATACCTTCTTGCTTTTTGGCATTAAATGCTGCAAGTGGTGTTTCAAGTGGCTCTTCTGATTTCAACTCTGCTTGGGATCTAACGCTGAACTTACACTGCAAAGCACTATCATCTCTGCCTCCCCCACCGCCAGCTGCACCAGTTGACCAAGGAGGTAAGACTTTACCGTCATCGCTGGTGTGGTGTTCAGCCGTAACGTCCTGAACCGAGTCTTCCGTGGAGGCTCTCTCTCCATGAGGACTTTCGCTGTAACAGAAGGAAAGAGACAGCGCTTTACTCTGGCAGAAATTGAGTTTCCTCATTTACAACAATTAAAGGTAACTAGGAACATCCATATGGGAAGCCAATACCTAGGTTCCACTGTGACAGACACTCCGCAGATGCATTTGTGCATACGGAAGTCAGTGTCTAAAAATCAAGCTAAATTCTTATTTGATCAAGCAAATCAAACATCTCTGTTAACCTTCTCGTGTGCTATCAGGGACGTCCAACTTCAGATCTTGTAACTTGGACATCTGGAGATGTTCAGAAGTCAGAGAGCAGTGGCACGTTGAGTCTAGATCCTCTCTGCCATGCCAGAATTATTCCCCAATGAGCTCATCAGATGAGTGGTGAGAAGGCTGCCACTTCCAGGGGGAAATTATTTCTCAATTCATAATGGTATTTCCAGGTCCGGGTTTGTCACCTCACTCCTTCCCTTTTATCACAATCGTAATTGTCCCATTCATTTCTCTGAACAGCTCCCATAGCTGGATTAATCACCTGGAATCTTTATTTGCAGAGCACCTAAACCAAGCGTACTCATTTGTGTTCTGCAGGAGGAAAAGCTTTGAAAGAATCAATAGGCAGCAAGTGGCGACCAAAGGTTATGTTTTCCTAAGAAGCTACATGAGCAGTTCCCTCGGGACAGGAGCAGAAAGGAAACTGGAAGAGGATCCGTCGCCTCTCCCAGGCAGCTCGGCAGAGCTGTTGCCAGCTGGCAGCGCTGCCGGCCTGCCCTGCCTGCTCGTCTGAAGAGAAAATAGTGCTCACTCCTCATCTTACCAGGCGCCAGTGCTGAAGAGAAAACGCTGCGCTCATCCGAAGCAATTTGTAATTCCCTTCCTGCAGCAATAACGTCATCCCTCGTTGGGATGAGCCCCTTGGCCTTGCAATGGTTAAAGCGATCGCGGATGTCAAGTGCCCTCCCTTCGGTAACCCGCCCCCCATACTCTTTTAAAGGAGAGAAAACAAGAAAAAGGAGAAAGGGTAAAGCGTTTGGGTAATTCTGGTGTCTCATTATGCTTTAATCCACACGCCACGAAGCTGCCTCACCAACTTCTGAGTCAGTACCTCAGGAATCAACCCTTCCCGTCCTTTGCAAAGCCCTTCTGCTACTTAATAAAGTTTACAGAAGGATCTGAAGCCAAACGGCGGTCCCAAGAGGAACACGGCATCGAGGGCTAGAGTTTCACGCAGACTGTGAAGTAATGTCGCGCACAGCCAATGCTAACGATCCAAATACCTCCAAGACCACGTGCCTCTTCCTATCCATGCCTCCAGCAGCACTTTCCACCAAAAAACCTGTCCTGGCTGCCGACTCCATCCCTGTCACGTGAGCCCCGGGATGCTGCAGCGGTTAGTGCCGGGCTTTCCCCCCGCGGGCTCCGAGAGCGCGAGCGGTATATACCGCCGGAGGAATGCAACGCAGGGTGAGCGGCTCTAAGCTGCCTTCTGCCCCGCCATGGTGTCACTTGCCTGCACGACGGCAGCACACAGGACTGGCCTCTCCCCAGCCTCTCCTCGTGCCGTCTCAGATGGACAGACAGACGCAGCATACTCCCAGCCTCGCCTCGAAGGCGGTATTTCCCAGATGCCTGCAGTGCAGCCCCGAATCTGTCACGCTCTACCCTCCTCTGCCCCCGGTGAGCCATTCCAAGGCTCCCGCCGACGGAAGGCGAGTGCCGCTCGCAGCGAGAGCACAGGCACGGGGGTGCAGAGCACGTGAGCCGTGGCGCCGAGCCCGGGCAGCCTCCATGCCAAAGCACAGCCTGCGAGCTCCCCGGCATGGGCACCAGGACATACAAACGTAGCAGGCTCCATCCCCTGAGGAACCAGCCCAACAGCAAGGATCCCCTCTGCTGCTCGTACGTGTTGTGCAAGGAGCCCTGTGGGCAGTAACGAAGTACCATCTAAATGCCAGGGATACGAGGAGGCTGGAATGGGAACCAGGTGCTTCTTCCTGACCGTAAGCAGCCTCCCCCGCTTGCCTCCACCCTTCTCTCTTACTAGGGTCTCAGGTCAGGGTGGTTCGGAAGGGCAGCAAAATAAAAACAAATGCCTTCAGCAAATCGGTATCACCTTCCAGGACATTTTGCCTCCTGCGTGAAGCATCCCCCGCACCTCAGAGCGTGCTGAATGGTTCACATCTTTATTCCCCTCGCCTTAAGGGACAAAACCTCCTGTCAAAGTTAATGTGTCTCTTGAAGGTCACAAAGATTCTGAGATTTCTTTTTTCCCCTCTACAATCCTTTCACGTATTAACATCAGCTAAAAACATCAGAGCGAAGGGTAAGCTAACAGAATTTCCAAAAGAGGCTCTGGCAAGGCTTCTGCGTACAGCAGTTAGTACAGAGGAGCCTGTACGGGGAGCGGGCTGATGGTTACAGCGATTCTGAACCACGTCAGGCAAACAAGGCGAGCTCTGTCACCAGAGTGACTTCATTTCAAAAATGTATTTATTCTAGTATATGAAAATAATAATTTGCATTCCTGGGACACTGGAGGAGAGAAGGAAGGAGGGGGAGAAGCAGGTCACAATTTAACATTCCTCATTTTCGGAGGGAGAGATCAGCTTGGCCAGTAGGAAAGAAAACACCTCCTTTCCTTCCCCCACTCCCCAACCTTCCACCCCAGATGACAAGAGCCGCTCTGGCTGAATTGTTTCCAGATGTGGCTTTCAGACTGCACACCCGGCCGGGCCTCCTGAGCTTTAAGCTGGATGAAAATGGTGATTTTGCATTCCTCCCTCTTCCCTCCCCCACCAGCAGTGCTGCCCTGAAAATTAAACCATGCCACAGCTTTCTAGGTTCAGTTGCAAGTGACCTCCTGTGTGTCTGAAGCAAAGGCACTCAAGACAAGCAGAAAAAAATAAGGCAAAAGCAGGAGAAAAAAGAAGGAAAGTGATTGATTTGGCAGCCGCCATACCAGAACATCCAAGAAAATCCCTACACAACCTTGCCCTTCAAGATAAATGACAACTGAATAGCCACTTTCTACCAGCTTATTTCACGTTGGTGACTCTCCAGAGACACCAGAGCCATCTTCTCTTCCATAAAACAGATTTTTGGAAGACTGAGCCAGATGCTCGAATCCAGAATCAGACCGTGCAGAAGGCGCGATGGTAGCACGCTAATCTGTAAATAAATATCCACCCATTCCTTTTCTCCTCAGTGGTATCTATCCTACCAGTAATCCTCGGTGTTGCCACCTCTGCTGTAGACTGGACCCTCCAGCTCCCGTGGTCCTGGGAAGATGTTCTCATGTTGGATGATGATGGTTTTGATCAATTCATTGACGTGAGCTTGGCAAGAGACTTGATCGTGACCTTCGGGCACAGACATCAGCGTTGGCCCAAAGCAGATGGCTAAGTTGTAGGGATCCATCATGTTCTCTTCGCTGAACTGAGACAAACTGCAAAAGACAGGAGTGGGGAGGAGGGTTAACAGCAGAAATCACCATCATCATCGCCTGCTGGAGAGCACACATTGCAGCTGGGATGGTTTGCTTTGGACTTCCTGCTGTTTAAAGCCGATCAGCTGGGACACGAACCTTCTGGGTCCACGTAAAGAGTGAGATGCTGATGGCATTTACACAGAAATAGAACCGAAGCCCCAGAGGGACTTTGAAAGCTCGAGACTATGCAAAAGTACTGGGTGCTGACTTTACAAGGGGAGGACATTTGTCCTTAATCTTCAATTCTTCTCTATTATTGTTGTCCACAGCCCCACACTCAATACCACAGCTCTATCGGGTCCTCTCTACCTAAACGCACATCATCAAGCGTGCCGAGCGTTACAACCTTTCTCCAAGGCCCAGGAGCTTCTCAAGTGGGCCTTTTTCAGAACTCCTCTTCAGGATTTCCCAGCAAATCTGAACCTTCCAGTTTCTATATGGTGCCTATTGTTTTAAAACACAATGTCTACCTGACTAAATTTTGTCCCAAACCTACAATTTATGCCTTTCAGGTAACAATTAAAGATGCAACAGAATAAAATTCCAATACAATTCCCCTTGAAAGTCTTTGTTTTCTAGATCAATACTTAGAATCATTAAAAACTACGGAGACTGGAAAGTCACACATTTCAGAGACTCCAGGAGTGCCATCAGTGAAACAAACCCCCTTGCTTTCCTAAGAGAAATAACCACTAGAATATATGATAGGTATAGTAAATGTCTGCTCCATTTTAATGCCTTTTTTTTTTTTTTTTAAGAAAAACCCCAAACCCTAACACTGTCTCATTTTAATGTAAGGAATGAGATGTTCATCAGAAGTAGTTGATGAACCAGAGCTTTACAAAAGCAGACAGGTCAGTGTACTGCCTCACACTTCTCTTTCACCTAAATGGTGTTCAAAGGGCTTTGACAACGTTTATGTGACCTTCTGGCTTGGACATTTTTCCTTTAGGCTACCTCAGGCGTCAAGGCCACGTTACTGGAGAAAACTATTGACTCCTTGCTGCCACACCATCCTATGAACCGACGCTGTGTAAAAGAAACATACTCCCCCTCCGCACTCACTCTGCTTAGCACATTGTGCTCTGGCTGGCGTGGAACCCAGTTTCTGACTCTTTCATGTAACTTTTTGCTTGGATTACTAGCACCTTATTCACTTGAATTTCTGCAACTCCTTTGCGACTGCGCTTGTATCATCGGGATGAATTTTGGTAGGGCTGATGCAACGGCAAGCTACTGCGGCCTGTGTGCCTTCGAGTGTGGCTCAGATCACCCGCAGCAATGTTAAGGCTGGTTCTGCCATTCACCACGTTTATTCCAAGTCCTACAGCAGGGCCGTGGTGTTCTTGGGGATACTCACTGATTGAGGAATGCAAAGAGGTATCTCATGATGATCAGAGTGGTCTTCGGCAGGTTCAGAAGCACCTTCCGGACGTGGAGCGCTCTCTCTTGTAAATTATCCATTGCTGAAAGGAAGAAAGAGCACACAGCGTCATCACCATCCTCACAGCTTGCCACCGAGCCCACATGCAACCAGTGTGCTACCATGGCTCCTGTGGAGACTATCAGAAGGGCAGCCAGCAGAGCAGCGGCAGCAAGAGGAAGGAAGGGCCTGCCGTTTTTCCGGATGCTCCAGCGCTGCCTGGCATGGGAACGCAGAGGCTGCAGAACCTGCTGGCAAAGCCTTTGACAAGGAAGGTCCCTGAACACGTGAAACTTCGCTGCGAGTTCCTTCCTAGCGTGGGAGCACTGGATGTCATCTGTTTCAATAGTTCTGGCACAATAGCTCATTCAAGTTAGCTGAGAAAGGTGGGTGTTTAAAAAAGAACTTGTATAACACTCAAAGGAAAATTAGCATAGTTAAAGGGTGAGGCAAAAAGCTCTGTGTGCAGCAGCCTGCTGAGAAATCAGTGGGCAGCATAAATCATCTCGGAAGGGAGAACTTATTTGGAAGCAGATTTTTCTTTTCATATAATGTGAATTCAACTCTGTAAATGCATTTATCAGGAGAAGAAAACCACAAGGCTTTTTACAGATGCAGTTATCTTTTGCTTTACTTCAGAGGCTGCCACCACAACGCCTGTTTCACTACTTGGACAACAGACTCACTCTTGGATTCTGAAGGACTCTGCAATAGTCAGGGCATTTAAAATGAGGTTGTTCACATACCAAATACAAAAACAACCCTCTGCCCACCAGAAACACCTTGAGAAACCATCAAAAATGTTAACAACTGGACTGTGACTGCCCTCATGACTGAGAGGCTTCAACAGGAGTCAACAGATGGCTGCTCTGGTTATGAAGCTCAGAGGAGTATGACTGCTACCGTGGCAGCTAAAGGGAGCAGGCAGCGTGTAGCTGCCGACGCAGGGAAAGCAGCCCGGGCAAGAAGCCCTGTCCCTGAGACAGCATTTCTGACACATCCTGATGAGAGGTCTGAAAGATTATTTTTCAGAAGTGGAGGTTTTTGGTTTATTCTGTTTCAAACAAATCCTGTCACGAAGCACTGTCTCAGAAAAATCCATGATAGTCCTTAGAATCTATTAATTTCTCTCTCCTTGCTCATTCATAAAAAAATTGCCATCAGAATAAGGATGGTGGTAACCAGGGAAATGCCCAGACTCTGCTAACAGAGACGAGGATACCAGTGCAACACAAACCCAACCAAAGTAAGCATAAAAGGATTATTTTGAAGCCAGGAAAAAGGGGACAGGAAAGAGAGGAAACTGGAAGATGAGATTGGAAAAATTAATTCTATTTCTTTTCAGATCTTCATATACTTACTGACACAAGCAATCAGATCATGAAAGATATCCTTGGGGAAGAGAGGGTGCTCCAACCCTCGAAAATAGAGCTTCAGAACTCCTGCTATTGAATCCATGTCATGGTCATTCTGGTCCCCAGCCAACGGATCTTCCCCTTCACAACAAGCAAAGAAAAACAGGCAAGAACAATCACAATACTGGAGAAAATCAGACTGGAAGGATGTATCTCAGCTGGAGAAAAGGATTTAGGCAGCACGAATCCCACCTACTCCAACTGCACTACACCCAGTGTTTGGTAGGGATCTCTCCCGTGCACTGCCGTGGGGAAGGGAAGCCTCTGACAGCAATCCCAGGAGACCTGGGACACCTTTCTGTCAGGCAGACTGCAGTGACACCCGAGCGCCTGGCTCACACCCGCGGAGGGTGGTGTGGAGCGGCAGCAACGCTTCCAGGCTCTGCGCTCCAGAGATTCTGGTAGGGTGTGAACTTCACAGATCCACCGCGGAGGTGAACAGTACGTGAGTCCAGGAGTGGGTCTTTATGCCAACTCACAGCTGGAGCTAGTGTGGAGGAGGCCCTGAGCATCGTGCACTTGGCTCAGCAGGATGCGGACACCTCCTCTTGAATCGGCCGGGGGAGGTGTGTGTTTCTGGGACAGTTTGTCACTGCGGATATCCCACAGTTTGTCTGCATTACAAAGGAAAAGATGCCCACTTGAGGAGTTTTTCCCTAGGGAAAACTCCCTATCAGACATAATTAGATTTGATGATGGGGCAATCCTCAGATTGAAGCTATATATATCCATTATGTGACTGAAATTACCAAAGCTTGCCTATTACCTTAATAGCACACAGGATAATAAATGGGCCACTACAAACCGGGGCATTACCCTTGATATTAACTGCCACCAAGGGTTCTGGATGAAGTAATAAACTGCAGAGACGTTATTGTTAACTTTGTCAGTTCTGTATATCATACGCCTTGCACAGACAAGGGAGCTGACACGATAAAAAGAAATCGCCTTTTTATTTCTGCATGTTAGTGCTGGAACAGGTGGCTATTCTCCCAAGATGACTGCTTTTTCCTTTACTTAAATAAACAGGTCTTTTATTCAAGCCTTTACCTGCAGCCTATAATACACATTTCTGCTTCCTCTGTTCCTGAGGATTTGAATTCTCAGGTAGAGGAGATGAACGCAGGTGAAATTAGATGCCATGTTTCATACGTGCTGTCCATGAAACTCCTCTCTTCCCCAGAGAAAAATAAACTTGCTGTGCCTAAGCAATCACTGCTCATCCCTTCCAACAGCAAGCACAGGATCACGCTAACTGTAGTCTTTTAGGGTGAGATATTCAGGGAATGAACACGAGCCCTGTTGTCCCCAGTGACCCAAGCAGGACCGGGGAGACAGGCTGCAAGGGCTGCCTGAAGAGCGAGCTCTTCTGAACCTGCTCTGCCAGGGAGAGCAGCCCGGCTAGGAGCTGATGAGTCAGGAGGCTCCCAGCCATTCGTTGCCTTTGTACGGAATGGTTCTTCACACAGAAAATCAAATCTATTAAAAGCTATGTCAAGTTAACAGTGTCTTGAAATTTACTCTCTCACTCGCCGATATTCAGATCAAATGTAGCCAAGCTGTGCCTCGAGAACATGGGAAACGGAATTTCACCCTCTAGCAGCCAGCCTGTTCACAAAGGGCTAGGGGAGAGGCTAGGGAAATGCAGTGACACCCAGCAGCGAAGATCTCCATATCCTTTAGTGTTACAAAGGATCAGCACACTCTCAGACATGAGAGAAGACTGAATTCAGAATATTTATTACGCGGACGCTCCGCAAGACAAAGCGCAACGCCACGCCTTGAGCGATCGAGGTTAACCAGCACTTCAAGAGCATTTGGGCTAAACTCACTTAGGAAGCAAAAACCAAAGGGTAGCAAGCTGCGTTCAAAACGTGCCATTTCAGACAGTTAAACAAATTAATACATTTGGGAATAGTTTCCAAGATCTTCCTTACCTCTCTCAAATGCATTTTTTATGTCATTTACTTCAACTTGTGACCCAGACACTCTGAATATCCCTTCATGCTGCAAACCTGCAAGACAAGAGAGGTTGATAACAATGAGATAAGATAAGCTGGCCCCTTCATCAGCTACTGCCCATATGATAAAGGAAATATAAGCAACACAGGCAGAAGTACGATGTTTTAAATGCCTTGTAAGTCCAGGCACATACGGAATATGTGAAACCAGGACTCAGCACTGCAGAGAAAACACATTAACCCTTCTTCATAAACTGTCAGAGTAACTGGGTTGTAACAGCCACGCACGTTATCTTTTACTCTGAAGGATCCCCAAAGGATTTTACAACCCAGAGAAAGTCATAAACTAACGGTATATCAGCCAGAAGTGAAATACGGCAAACTACAGGAGGAAGCAGTTTATTTTGCAAGAGCGATACTGCAAAGGCCCGGAGCAAATCAGCCAATTGAAACGGAAGCATTTAATTACCCCAGCATGACCCACACCAGGGTTTTCGGATAGTCTTTAAGATGTCCTTGCTAAAGCATAAGAATTAGCAACGTCATTAAACCAATTATCAAGTTGGTGAGATGTTCCAACGCGTCACCGTCGCGACTGTTTCGTTGGTACATGTGATGAGCAACAACCGCTACAAATCAAGTAACGAGCAAAGCACACGCCTCACGTGGGGAAGTCAACTCCCATTCACCCAAGCCTTTCTGAAACAGGGAATGCTGCAACGTCTTGGCTTTACTCCTAATAACGGCTATAAATTAATAAGCTCCTGAAGGCACCTGCGGCCTCTTCCTCTCAGTGTCTGCGGCCGTTTTCATCCCAGGGCAATGAAACCTTTGCGGTACGTGGCTGTGACACACAGCTAAGAGCAACGCAAAGAAACCATCCCAAGTGCAGAGAAACAAGAATGAACGTGACATTCATCCCACACCTACGCAGCAAAACATTTAGAAATGTCAGGCTACCTCCAACAAAATTCATTTCCGCACTGTAAGTGCGTCAGCTCTGTCGTTTCTTCTGCCTAAAGTGGAATTTGTGTACAAAAGCGCATTCCTGAACTCTACCTGTAAGGCCACGATCTGACATTCAAAGCAAGAATCAGCTGAGTTTGCTGGAAAATCTCCCTGTTGGGGATCTAAGCTGAGCCAGGAGTATCAATCTAAACCGTAAAATCTCCTGATGGCCCCAGTTTGGTTAGCACGGCAATGTGGTTGTAATGATTTTTTCCAGCAAATATCCAAGTATGGCCTTAATGAAGGATTACAGCCCTTGGCTCTTCCAAGTGATGATGAGAATGGGACTCTAGATTATAGTTTCTAAAATGGTAATTAAACAAGGAAAATGAAACAGGACCTATCATTTCGCTCTGTGTCTTGGTTAATGAAGATAAATTCTACCTCTTTCTACATATGCTAATTAACAGCTGTTTCAAATGTTACTAACAAGTGATATCACTTAAAAACGAAAACAAATTACAATAAACATAAAAATATTTTACAGTGTTCAGTGCCGTGAAGTTAACCTTCGAAACTGGTACAAATCATCTCACTGAGGCAATCGCTAAGCGATTATTCACTACTTGACCTCCCCCATTCAAACACTTTGAGTATTCCTCCTCCTCTAGGAAGGGCGTGATTATTGTTGGTGAAGGCCACACTTCAGGCCTGAAAGCAAGGTTGAGTGGAGGTGAGGTATCTAAGGATACCTAAGCGGTATCTAAGGAGAGGAACCTTATTTTACAAGAAACAAAGGGATATTGTTGAAAGAACAACATTTGCAGTGTCAGTTATTTGCAATAACCATTTGGAAATGCGATCACACACATAGTAGAATCACAGAACAGTTTGGGTTGGAAGGGACCTTAAAGATCAGCCAGTTCCAACCCCCCTGCCACGGGCAGGGACATCTTCCATAGACCAGGTTGCTCCAAGCCTCATCCAGCCTGGCCTTGGACACTCCCAGGGATGGGGCATCCACAGCTTCTCTGGGCAACCTGTCCCAGTGCCTCCCCACCCTCTGCGGGAAGAATTCCTTCCTGATATCTAATCTAAACCTCCCCACTTTCAATTTAAAGCCGTTACCCCTTGTCCTGTCACTACAGACCCTTGTAAAAAGTCCCCCCCAGCTTCCTTGTAGCCCCTTCAGGTACTACAAAGTGCTATAAGGTCTCCCCGGAGCCTTCCCTTCTCCAAGCTGAACACCCCAACTCTCCCAGCCTGTCCCCATGGCAGAGGGGCTCCAGCCCTCGGAGCATCTCCGTGGCCTCCTCTGGACCAGCTGTACAGCCAACAAGTCAGGGATGGTTTCCTTATAATGCCGTCTCCAGGATTCCTCTGCACAAGTGCCATGTCCCGAGCTACTGTGAATATTTTTCAGAAGGCTTCCGCATCACTGCTCCTTTTAAGGAAATATCTGAGGGTACCTTTTGCCCACCAACTCACCGTGTCTGCTAATGAAGCGTATGCAGCTCTCCACGACCAGGGGAATGGCTTGTGAGGAATCCTGCGTAAGGAGAAATGTAAACAAGAGTATCGTCAGAATGCAAAGTGATGGTAACAGGAGGATGGGGGATGGGGATGGCACACATCAAAAAAAAAGGAAAACAAATTTCTCATCTCATCTGCCATGTTCTGCTTCCACACAATTCCAGGTGTGTTCAGTTTCTGGACTGACCAAACACCCCAAATGTGAGTGATGCCAGGATCGCATCCATCTCCTGCTATCCTGTCACAAACATTTAAACCAGCCCATCGGTACCCTACGGCCAGAGTCCACTGAGCAAGGTGCACTATACTGGCACCCGCTCACAGAGAGCGCCGCCTTCGGTCCAAACACCGTAAAACCTTCTAGATGGCCAGTTTCCAGCTTAATCAACATTAACTGAGCCTTCAGTATGGAAACAAGCCTTTACACTTCCCCAGTCTCTGCTTCCTAGCATCCCAGGTTACTTTTCAGGCAACGGAATTCCTGCGGTGTTTGCAGTTTTTCATCCCATTTTGGGGAGCAGCAACCAAGCAACAGAAGGGCTGCAGTTGGCTTAAGGTCAGATGCCAGTGGTTAACATTACCGTGTGATTAAAACTTCCACCTTTCTGCTTATGCAGAGCCTCTTCTGCCGTAGCTTTGGACAGCTCTAATTTATATCAAAACACTCATTTGTTAGGATGCTGCAGTACCGGCGTTCCAATCGGCTCAAAAGGATGAGTCCTCTGCTCAAAAATACATATAAAACCCCCCAGTTCAACCACTTTCCCAACTTGCTTAGGTTTAATGCTTTTTGTTTTATTGGCATGTCATAGATCTTAGTCATATAGTGACAATTAATAATTTCTCTGCTAATACCCATAGCCAGTTAGACCCAGTTTTCTATACGCCGTACACAACGCCACCGCCCAATTAAGAATACTTCACGAGCCAGCCTGCCAACTGGCCCCTGAGGACAGGCTTTATTAATGATCAGCCAGCCAGCATTATAACCCCTAGACTTATTTTGGGGTTGGACAGGAAGAACCCACAGCAAAGCACATATTTGGGTCCCCAGCAGAGATGGAAACTCTCCGAGCAGTTATGTTTTAAACTGTTAGGTCACAATCAAAAAAACCCTCTTAAATCCCTGAGCAAGTGATTGCATGTAGGTTACTGCGAGCTGCGGATTCAGTGTTTGCAGGCACATTAATTATTAATTTAGGTTTCCAAATCAGAGATATTAGGTTTCCAAATCAGCTCTACTCGAGTCAGAATATGTTTCTGAGACACCTCAAAAACTACTTGTGAAAATGGGAATCAAGACACACGCCCACACTTTCAGCACAGAAAAGGACCATTTTCAGAGCATAAATAAAGGAACAATTAAGCTCAGAAAATGAAAAAGGTTTGACTCTGCACTTTAAACCCAAAACCTGCTCACTTACTTAAATTTCCAGTATATAGGGATGCTAAAAACTACAAAGCAACACCCCAAGACAGACTGTATGAAATGGAATTCCAAGCCAAATTTTGTCTTTATAGTACCAACAATACTTTGTTGATACAAAAATATTTTTGTTTCTTCCCCTGTCTCAGAGGAACATATTTCAGCTCCAGCCAGGAAAACAAGACATGGCTGTTGTAAGTATTTATTACAAGACAGGAGCGAGCAGTTACTGGTTTAATAGCACTGCAGAGGGATACGAGTGGAAAATGAAGGGAAAGGGGACAAAGAAACAGCAGCATGAAACCCATAAACCGTGACCGTCCAGGCAGCTCAAGGCTGTTTGGCGTTTTTGGTTCCAGGTCTGTCAAAACACTGGGTAAAACTGTTCTTAAATTCTGTCAGAGAACACGAATCAAGGCTGTGGATCCCTGTTTTATCAATTTCTGTTGCTGAGTGAGCAGATACCAGTTCTGCTTAAATAAGACTGAAAAGGTCCATGTAAGAGGGAGGGAAGAAGGAAACCACTTCCCTGTTTCCCATCCATCCTCCCCTACAAGCACACACCTACTCCTGGTCCATTACTTCAGGAAATGTTTATTACCTGCTTCCTTATGGTAGAGCTGCGCCTGCCGCTGCGGAGAGCGGAACCGCCCGTTGGTGCAGGAGGGAAAAACAGAATAGAAGAGTCAGGATAATCCTCTACTATCATCATTCTCCTTCATTTGGTATTCCAACCACGTGTATTTTGGAGAAAGGAAGGAGCCAGATATACAAGTCAATCATAATGACTAAGTCTCATTCAATTTAGGGAACTTCAGAAAGATTTTAAGTGACTTTAAATCACTAAAATCCTGAAACAGACACGAGGGAGTCCGCTGCTTTGAGAAAAGATTACCCCTGACGTTTTAATTCCAACCAGATGGAAATCTGCTATACAGGGCTCCTTGTTCACGATGAAGTTTATTATAAACTACACGTAGCTGTTCTCTGAAAGAGCCGCTCTGTGGAGGGCAGAAGCAGGTGGGAGCACGCTAGTTCCTACCGTGCAGTTAACAGCGGCCATTGGGGAGGTTTATTACAGTTCCTGATAAGAATTCAAATAAATAAATAAAACAAACACCCTCAAACACCAGCACATGCTCCCCAGGCCAAGCCTTTTCAGTGTAAACCATGATGGTCTTTATGTTGGTAGACATTAACTGCAGAAAAATAGGAAAAAAAATCACGTTGTGCCAGGATTTTTTCCTTCAGAATTTATTACCGTGGTTTAAAATTCCTATAGTTTCTTGTAAAAATGAAGCATGAGAGATAATAGCAGAGAAGCCCTAATAATGTATCACTCAAGCCAATTCTCTGCTAGGGCAGATGGCTGCTGAATTATAAATAAGGTGATTAGAACTGTGATTTTTAAAAAGACTGTACAATGTGTTAATTCAGGGGAAATTCCTCTTATAAAAATCAAAAACATTGAGTGAAAAGAAGAGGAATCAGATTCCATGGGCTGTCACAGAGAAGAAGGTCTATTTTAAACTATTAGCAGTAATGATTCTTTGATATTTAAAATTGTTTCATGATGAATAATATTTTATTATTACAGATGTCAGGCTCTAATTAGGACCTGTCAGCTTTGCTTTGCTGTAAGGAATGTGAAAAGTAGTAATGACTCCAGGGCCGTAGTAATCACCTTCCTTTTGTTAACAAGGCAGGATGATGCACAGCCCCTACTCCAGCTCCTTGTGCCCGGCGGAGCCCCTCGAATCCATCAATTTGGAGATGGAGATTTGTTATGTTTTATAAAAACCCCATCAGGAGAAGCTTAGTTATGGTTCTGTGATTGGTCCTAATTACAAATGAAAAGTTGATTCTCCATGACCTCGGTACTGCGCGATCCAGCCCCACGGCAGAAAGCAGCAGCAGGATAAAGAGTTGTCCCGATTTACGTTACTCGGCCCCACACACCAACCACGTGGCTAAACCCTGCAGAGTCATGGGCTCATCTCTTGCAGAAATACAAATTCGTGTGTAAGAATATGAGTTTGAAGAATACTTCCCTGGGTGACAGTGCCAAACGAACCAGTTTCTCACACCCATCCCCTTCCCGATCTGCATTAAGTACATGGGGCTAAGAAAAAGGACAAGACCTCCACGGGGCCACCCTGCCAGCAGCCGCACGGTCACAACGGCAGCACCGGGTAGCACCAAGCCGGGAGAGGTGTTTCGGCAGGTGCTGCACCCAAAGAAACACTCCTTACTCAGCTGATCAGAGGTTACTCAACATACATGTAAGCTGTGCCCCTACCTCGCGCTGCCGTAGGTATTAGCGATGGTATTTAAAGGCATGTTAACTACCAGGAATTTGCTTATATTGAAAAAGATGTCCATTTAGCTACTAACAGACACATAGCCTGGGCTGGCAACTGACCCAGAATGACAGTGACTGATTTGCATCGGATTTGCCTTAAAAAATGATCCCTGGAGCCACACCTACCTGGCAAGGGAGCAGTCAGTCCGTTGACCTGTTGAGAAGACAAAGACTAACAGCATTAGAAGAGAGGAATGGTAAAATGCTTTCAACAGCTTTGTAAAGCTAGTTTTGGAAGGAGATGGGGGAGAAAAATCCATCAGAGAGGGAAAGGGCAGCTGTGGCTGCCTCCCCTGGAAGCGCTGCCACGGAGAGCATCGAAGCCCACCCCGGCCAGCACCGCTCTGCCGCCACCGACCAGGAAACGCAGCAAACAGCTCGGGCTGCCCAAGGACTGTGTCTTTGGAAAGTATTGTTTCTGAAAATTAGTTCCCTGTGCCTTTTAATTGTTGACTTCTGCTGCCAAAAAACTGGGCTTGTCAACCTTTCCCTCCCTCTTCCCAGGGGAATTGGTGGGGCGAGAGATTATGCAGCCACGCAGTAAGAGTGAAAACATTCACGGATTTGTTAGCCCACAGACGGAACGTGCCGGCATTAGGCTATTTTGGGAGGCAGACGTTTAATGCTATTTTCCACAAACATTTATAAAAACGTTCCATGAACTTGCAGGGAGTTTGCGAGGAAGCGGCCAAGCTAACGACTACCGCTAAGGCACCACGAGGAGCGAGAGAGACAGAAAACGAGCACTGCCTCGGGGAATTGTGCAGGCCAGATCTTTGGCTGGTATAGATCATCATCAGTGAAACCACACTGATTTACAACAGCTGAAAATCCACCTTCCCTACAGTCATCTTCCTGCTCCTGGGGAGAGGGAAGAATGAACGAGGGAAACGTCTAATTGCTGATGGCTGACAATTAGCTCAACACATCTCAATAGCCACTTTCCTCTCCCCACGTAAAGCCAAAACAGTGCATAATTTACATGAAAATGTTATTCTGAAGCAGAATTTCCAGCCATCTGTCCCACTTCCATCATAGAATATTCATATATATAAATTACATGGCTGTGGCAACATCAAGGGGCTCCTACATTAGGGTGACAAATGCGTACAGTAGGCAGGGACATAATTACTTGCAGATAGGAAGACTTGCTGCTATTTTTATAACTGGAACTTGTCATCTTCAGATTAAGGCAATTTGCAAGAGGACTAATAAATGTCACCTGAGGATGGGGCAAAGAAGAACAGAAATCCTAACAAACTCCAGCGTTTTCCAGGGACACGCAGCTGTACGCACATCTTTCCAGTAAAGCTTCTAACCGTGCTCTGGGGACTTGTGAAAGGAATTTTACTTGCCCCTTCCCCAGTGAAGTGACATTTTATGGATAGGTCTAGGCACAGTCCCCAGTTTGTACCATTAACCTGCTAATGTGGTTTTGGAGACATGTACCTCCTTTTGATCTCCCAGATGACAGTGATTTTTGTTTTTCAGCTCACCCTGACACACACTGGGTCCCTTCACAGAGTGACTAAAAAAGCTCTGATTTGCAAAGCAACCGCAAGAAAACAGAAGCAGCCTTTAAATCTACATAGCAATACAGAAATGGCATTTAATTTCCTCTTCCCCCCCAGCTCGAGATGGGTTCAAGGGGCAGGCAGGTTAAGGGGAAGCAGGGCTCGGTATGCTGAGGTCAGCTCTGATCCAGGAATGTGATTAGTCACAGGGGCAGCATGGGTGTCATTTGGAGATATTTAGAGGCAGAAGAAAAATACCCTGAGGACATGGATCTTTGGCTTCATCCACCCTTTCCACAGGGCAGCTGAAGAGACGGGCGACGTTAAATCATAAAGCACAGGACGACGGCAACGTCCTTTCCTTACCGACCTGTGGTTTGGGTCTGATCAACATGAAACTCTTAATTACTGCAGCAGCAAGTATTTTATTTTTATAGTGCATTTTTAAACTGGAAGCGAAGCACTTCAAAGACCACATGCTGTTTAAGTTTTCATTCAGAAGATTTGCACGCCATAAACCGTGGGGAGTCCGGTCAAGCTACGTATCAATACAGGAGCCTCGCTCCAGCATATAAACCCCAGAAGGGGTTGAGCCATTTTTTGACCTGACATTTAGACTGTTAAAACCTCCTCTGCAAATATGAGGCAGACTGGTTTCTATGGAAACATGGATGCATAGTTTAAGTGTGTTTGGCCAACAGGATTTGCCCATACCATGAAGGGAAAGAAATCTTCCTTTGTTCTAACGCTAACAGCACATGCATATTCAGTCCTTGCTGCTGCCCCCTGACTAATGCCCTCCAGATAGGCAACTTACTTCACACGCTCTGAAATTCATTGGTTAATTCCCCTAATAAAAGCCGTGCTCACACCCGTTAGCCTGGTCTGGATTGATCACTGAGAAGCAGCTAAGCTGCCATGCCAGTGCAACTTCTGACCAGCCTAACAAGGCAACACTCAGCTCGTCAGCAGAGTGGCAATCACAAGGTTCACCCCAAGACAGATTAAGCGAGAAGCAGAAGGTGTGTGTACAGGAGAGGACAGGATGAATGAGTGGGCATATGCTGCGTTTTAACAAATAAGCAGTGCACATTAGCGATCATTAAGCATTTTCTGTTCACCATTAATCCAGCAGCCATGTAGGTCACTCGCCTTCTCCAACAGAGAGGTCAGAAAAGTCAATTCATAAAACATGAGTGTGTCTACTTTGCATCAGCAATCCACAACCGTTACCCACAGTCAGCTACTAATTAAGTGCAACAGCCCGGCTAATAGCAGTGACGAGCGGGTCCCAGACTCACTTTCTCCCAGGGTCTTCTGAAGGAGGTCATGTTTGGCTTGGAGCTTTGTTATCAGGTTCCTGCCTTCCAGATACTCCTTCATTTTCTGTGAAAGTGGAAAAAAACCAAGATCATGAGCAGACAATTAATTTCTTTGATTGCATCTTTAGGATTCTGAGCTTAATGTGAAGTACAAAATCACACTGAAGTTTACAGTGTGAGGGATGAACCAACCCCTCCTGGTTTATAGTGTCTGGGCAATCCAGAAGCTCAGTCCGGACGTATCCGCAGCGCAATTCCTATTGTCTCGCTGTGGAATCAGCTGAATGTTTGGCATCTTTTAAGACATCTGAGAAGCTGTCATGCCTCTTCTCTCCAGACAGGAGAGAAATGGAAACGCACTTCCCTCGCGCGTCACAGGCGACTGAATGAGCAATCTGTTTTAACAAACTAAAAGGCTGCTACTGTGCTTATTCTCTCACTTAACCTCCCTCACCCCACTTCACTTGTCAAATAGTGCGCCTGCCTCCCCGCTGGATGACACACGGGGTTGCAGGGGGGAGCACGGGACAAAACAAATAAAGATATATTATTTAAGTCTAGATTTGTTCTCTCGGTGAAATATTGTACAATCACGCCGTTGTTTTTCCCCACTCCTTCCTGATTTTTCGCAGCTCTGCGAACGCTGGGTTTTCACAGCTCTTTCATCTCCTTGCAGTGCACCGCAGCGTTATTTATCTCCACCGTGCTGCGGCACATAAAATACCCTGCTGTAGAGTAGCTGTCCACATTGTAATCAGGACATGTTTACACTCAAAAATAAACAAATAGCACATAACTCTTCAAATATCACAGGCCACTCTTTAGAATAATGAGATATTTTCAAAGTTCACCCAGAAAGATGAACACAAAGACAGGATTTGCATTTAATAATGAAACATTCCAGTTGTCTTCAGCTTTCCCCAATTCTATCCACTTTCTTCCAGTTGTCCCAACTGCAAACCCTTAAGGTGAAAAACAGTGTTTTTAGCAATGAGAATGCCTGGCCCCTGCTTGCCCTACGCAGGTTGTAACAACGGCAGCCTCCACGTAAAATGTAAAGAACCAAGAAGCAACATACACACAGTATTGAGGGTGGGGTAACACTTCCAGGACCCCACAAAGTCTCCACCGTGGGCTCTGCAGCAGCAGCGTGGACCCCCACAACAAACAAAACTGGCTGAGCTGGGGCTTTAACGAACAGCCAGAAGTCTTGTGTTTTATGTCCCTTTGGGTTGACAAGACTGGAAGAAAAATTTCCCAAGAATTAACTACCTTTGGAGTGTCTCAGCACTTCCTGCTTCCTATACTGACACTTGGAGTTTTGGTGGTTGTTTTAGAAGAAAACAGGAAGCCTGGTGACCGTGGCAAAAAAGAAAAATTAACTGCATATTTTGGATTTTCCCTGTAGAATCTGCTCACCAAGCCCCAACTATGTATTTTGCTCAATCACTTAGATCTTTGCATCAAATTTTGACAGGAGAAAACATGAAGAGTATAAGCTGCAAAAATAGCCAGAGAATTTGAAGTGGGGATTTGAGGATAAATCTGGGAGGTGCCAAGCTCCCCGTCTCAAAGTCACGATCAGGCCAAGAGACACAAGGGCTAGAAGGCTCAGCTCCAAATAGCTCAAACAGAAGCTTAGAGATCAGCAAATCAACTTGATTTGGAAGAGAGTTCAGCTTCCCTTTGAAGCTGCTGTAAAAACTTAAGCTCAGCTCACTGGTGGCTGCGGCTCAGTGCGGGGCAGGGCCGGGGATGCGGCTGGCACTCGCAGATGCTCTGCCTTTGCGGCGCTGGCAGCGCTCAGATTAGGAACATCGCCTGCCCGCAGACGGGGACCAGGGGCTGTTTTAAAGGAGACAAAGAGAAGGTTCCTATCCCAGGCAGTATTTCATGTGTTCTTTCTATTTCCTCATGCCTAACATTCTGTACCCTGCCCGCTACCAGTACGCTTATGAAAAAATAAGTCATTTCAAAATAAGGCTCCAGGCTTTTTTTCAATGAATTACAAAGATCCCCTAGGCATTTGATTTCTGGTTTAATGAAAACAGTCAAAAAAAAAAATGATCAAACTACAGAACTCCTAAGGATTCCATTGCCGGCAGAGCACTGCTGGACTCAGGCTAAGTACAATCAGACACGAAGCAGCAGAAATGTCCCCCAGCCACTCCATCTCTGCACGGGCAGAATTAAAGAGCTGAAGGTCTGTTGTCAGGCAGAGATGGTGAGCATTTTGCACCTACCATCTCCCCAAACCCACCTAACTCTGACACCCTTGCTAAGCCCAGGTACAGGGCAGTTCTCAGGGAAAAGAGATTTTGTGCTTTTGAGGCTAGAGAGAAAAGCAGTTTCTGCCACTGTCCCACATCCTTAACTGTCCCCAGTCTGGAGAGCTCAGCAGTTTTCCTCCCTCCCTCGCCCCCCCCGGAACAGTTTCAAACAAGGCGCTCGATTGAGGGCGAATCAGACCCCCGCTCCCCTGCGAGCCGCCGAACGTGGGAACAGCGGCACATTGACACCACCAGCGGGACCTTTCTGTAGGGCTGATTAGCAGGGGAACCTCCTACAATACTCACCCATGTCTTAAGGGTTTGGTAATAATAAATTTACATGAATTTTTAAAGCACTTCACAGAATGTGCATTGTACTGGGTTTTAATCTTTTAGAGGAAAAAAAAAAACCCATTTCAAGTAAGAACTAAAATTATCCTGTTTCAGAGGTGAAAGAATCAAACCATTCATCCCCCATTCCTCAGGTAGGGCAGCGTGCCAGCTCTGTTACAGTCAGCAGTAGGATTTCAGCTCTGACAGGCATCCTCACGCTAGCTCCGATTTTGCCGGCTCCGGCAGCAGGAGTGCAGCCATGGCAGCAGCGTCCCCCAGGACACATCCCCACGTTTCAGCTCCCAGGTCACCGCTACTTCCTTGCTTTAGCTCCCTGCATGAGCTCCGTGCTAAGACCATCACCATTTCTATGCTTTTCAGCAGCACTGGGAAGTTTAAGCTTTTATTCCCAATACAAACCATCCCTCAAAGCCCTAACAACGGGGCCATCGTGGCACTGGTGTGCAAGGATATGCCTCCAGCGGAAATACAGCTTATGTCAGTGTAGAGATACTACAGTCAGCACGCCTTCGATTAAATTCCCACAGCACCATCCCAATATTTACCTAAGAGCTCTGCCTAGCTAGCAACGCAGTACGTGGAATTTCCAACCGGAGTTCCGCAGTAACAGAGTATTCTTTCAAATGAATATTTTTCTTTCAGTTCATATCCCTCAGCATTTAGTTATGAGGGGATTTAAAGCTCTTCTTGTGCACCACACTCTGTTTTATCCCCTGCACAAAGAATGCCTCGCCCACATTGCTACACAGCTCTGCCCTCGGCCTCAGTAACGCTCATCTGGGCCTCTTCCCATACACCACAAAAACTGCTCCTTAGAGAGTCAAAACCTGAAATCCTTATAAAGGATATTTATAAGTCTGGTCAACAGGTTTAGATTAGATATCAGGAAGGAGTTCTTTCTGCAGAGGGTGGGGAGGCACTGGGACAGGTTGCCCAGAGAAGCTGTGGATGCCCCATCCCTGGGAGTGTCCAAGGCCAGGCTGGATGAGGCTTGGAGCAACCTGGTCTAGTGGAAGGTGTCCCTGCCCATGGCAGGGGGGTTGGAACTAGATGATCTTTAAGGTCCCTTCCAACCCAACCTATTCTATGGTTCTGTGATTCTATTTCACCCACGTTGGGCAGGACATGACAGATCACACCTCTGCTTGCTGAGACGGCTCCACAGCCCTGCCAGGACCTCACTGCTCAGCAGCGGGAAACTAACACCACAAAACGGAAAAACATTACACCCAAATAACATCCTGGGTTCAGTCTCCTATTTGAATAGTCCCTCTCTAGAAAGAGAACAGTTAAAAATTATTTTTCTAGTTTCACAACCCCGGGCAGGGTGGTCAATCCCTTCTTCACTGAAGCAGTTTGTCCACTCACTCTTCTCAACAGCCAGCTTCACCTCCTACAAAGACTTTTAATCTGACTAAGCCAAGGCCTGACAGAAACCATCCTGCCAGCTAGTGCAACCTGAAGACTTCTAATCAGCAACGCCGTTCTTGGAAGAGGAAGATGCCCAAAGGAACAGCAAAGTAACCAGGGTAAGAGGTGTGATTTTTATCTGCTATTTGGAAATATTTTTAGAATGGAAGCGAATTCAACAGTTCAACATGAACCCAATTTAGGAAAACATACATAGTCTGGTATGAAACTCAGTGTAAAAAGCTCTCAGCATCTTGTAAAAACGCACTGACACAATTAAAAGCTTATGTGAGCCGAAATTGTAAGATGATAATAGCCAGAAATGAAAGAGTGATTTTCTTGAAAACTGATATTTACAAGCTTTACGGTCTCAGACAATTCCTTTTTAGATGCAGAAGAAATTAAATTTTACACAGTTTACCCACAGAGTAATTTTGCATCAAGAGAGGTATCCCAATATCTCTGTAAAGAATTCAAAGCACCCGTCTTTAAAACCCAACATGCTTACTCTGCTGGTCCAAAATCAATTACAGCGCGTTTTGGCAAGATGATAGCCTCATTTTGCACTCTCTTGTGAGTGTAATTCTAAATACGTTCTACGTGCTCATGCTGAAAATTAGCTCCTTACTGTGAAATAGAACTGCTCCGTCTCCTGCTGGTTGGCCCGTCTCTTGGCGATGCTCGGTTTGCTCATAAACGTTTCCGAGACCGTGGATTTAACAGACTCCATTGAGTTGCTGTACTGAAAGCAGTCAGAGACATCAAAGTCCTCTATCGTGACGATATCCTGGATCGTCTGGAGCGTAGCTTCCATAGTCTTCTTAACCTGTCCAGCAAGAACGAGAGTACGTAAGAAACGAAGCAAAGAACAGAGGTGGTAAGTACCCGGGTGCATTTTACTAATAAACAGACACTACTGGTTTCACATCCTGCGTGCCATAATTAACGTGTACAACACAAGTTTTCCTCATTAACAGCACAGTCCATATAAACTGCTGGCAGCACACAGACCTGCCAGGAGTAGGAAAACACCTGCAGTCTGGGATGACGAGGACACATAAGGAAATTTAACTTGAAAGCGAAGAGTGCTGGAACAAAGCTCTTAAAATTGTCTTCTCTAACTACATCTGCTGGGCATCAGGTATTAGATATCAGAAAAGGACTTTGCAGTACTCTACATTTTCACTGAAGGCCAGAATCAACTTCCTAGGCATAAAGGAGTTGTAAGTTTTCCCCAAGAAGAACTGAAAACACAGAGGTGCAGATTAGGTATTGCCCTCTTCCCAAACAGAGGCCATTGAGCTAGCTGTGTCTCATCTCAGATGACCAATTAAACATAAATCAGCTCTTACCTTAGGTTATGCAAATTCAGTCTTCACTGCAAAACATTATAATCCCCTTTTTCTATTAGTTACTCAAATACAACTTGTGCAACACAGCCAGCCCCATCACATTAAGGACGGGAAGAGATACATGTAGGTATTTTAAAGGATCCCCTCCCTGCAGTTTTCACGTCAAATCACACACCGCTGGCCTCAGTTGCCTTATTTGTCAATTTTACCACAATTTTCCATAAACGAGGATCACAGAAACTAGATTCTTCCTTAATTAGTCCCCACTCCCCCCTGGAAGTAGAAAAAGGGCTGTTGATTTTGGTTGTTCAGCTCACCTCCTCGTTTTCAATCTTAAGGGTAGACAATCTAGACTGCAATTGCTGGCACCTCTGCACTAACTCGCTCTGGACGGGCTGCTGGGCACATAGCTGCGACTCCTGGAAGAGAAACGGCACCGGTTTCAGAGGGCTAGGAAAAAAAACCCCACAGAATCAAGAACATTGCAAATAGTGCATTGTGTTATTATAAACAAACTTCCTCCAAAGTGCTTCGTTTTAGATCTTTATGGCCCTGGATTTCAACCAGTGGAAAAGGCCTGTGTTCTACCAAACTGCAGTTCACTCCCCGACTGTGTTGGAAAGCAAGTGAAGCAGAACATGAATATTAAAAGAGAACTAGAAAAAAAATAGCTCCTTTCAGTAACACAAGCTTCTCCTGAGTTCTGAAAGTCCTCTATGGCAGACACTGGGCTCATCACACCCTAAACCCTCAAGAAGTGAGTGCCTGTTGGCACATCAAGAGAAATTTGGGTCAATATACCATCCAGGTGTCCTGGGGTGGGAGTACGAGTGGCTGAGCTTGCTGTAGCATCCTGTACAGTACAGGAACAGGCACGATTCACTGTGTAATAAATCCAACAAAGTTGAAATAAAAAAGAGCAGGTTAGCGACCTGTCAAATATGCCAGAACCGTGGGCTTCCCAGCACTGTTCAGAGTCTTGTTTCACAGCACGAGGCAGCTTTGTAGTTCGGTATTTGGTTTGGTTTTAAAAGGAAAACATTGACCTCACTGCGTAAGGCTATTGTTTAAGGAGAGAAACTGGAGTTTTATCGCGACCAGCACATATTCAACCTGGTGTATCGCACCCAGGCTAACAGCTCGCATTTGTAAATGCTCACTCGGCCTCGAGGAGAGCCGAGATGAATGATTCAGTGAAAGTGAGCTGTTAGCTGAGTGACAGTCTGCAGGTCACTCTTCTTCTTCCCACAGTCTTACAGGATAAGACTGAAGCACAGAAAAACTGAGAAAGGTCATTTGCAGTCTGAGGGTTTCACGTAAGAGGGAAGAGACAAAGAGAAGCCTGAAGCAGCGACTCTAAGAGGCTGGCTGCAAGCGACCATCCGCACAGTTCTTCCTCAGCCTTCAGGAGGATAGTCTAGAAAGCCAACCAATTGACCTAAATTATTACAGTGTACATGTGTTCCCATTTAGATTTGTGAACCGGTTTCAGCTTGTGCTACTTTCAACAGTTCCCTGATGAGTAACCACATCTTGATAAACCTATAACAAGAGGGATTTTCATTGCCAAAAATGAAAGTCCTGCCTGCCTTGTCTCACAATGAAGATGCATAAAGCACCACCATAAACCATTTGTGCTCTACGATTACACACTCCAGTGCCTCAAAAACCTGCATTTAAGTCTAGCCTCTTGTTGTCCCTTCAAATCTCTACCCTGAGAGTCTGTCTCGGGGTGCAGAGGTTAATTGTGGCTTGAATGAGAGGTTAACACAGTGTTTCCTCTACAATTAGTATTGTACCTAATTAAGTAGTTTCATCTTCAGTAGCTTTGGTAATCAGAAAATGAGTCAGTTATATTCAGACATCTGTGCCATGAGCCTCTCCCTAATCTTCAACTCAGTCCCCTTTTCCCTTCCCAAAATAGAGCCAAACAGGTGGCCTCGTAGTGGGTCTCGCTACCAAAGACGAGGGAAGTAAACAGGCAAAGCTGCAAGTGTTTACAGAGCTAGAGCCGGAGCGGAATACGAACTGACCATGTCACCCATATGGGGCTGAAACTCGAACTTCATGGGGGGACAGAAGACATTGTTGTACATCTCCATCAGGCGCTGCTTATCACTGTTGGCATCCAGGTTCTCCACGGCGTTTTCGATGGCGTCCAGACCCTCGTGCTTTGACTGCTCCAGGTTCAGCTCAGCAGACAAGAATGTCCTGAGAGCTCTGTTGAGGCTAGCGTGGTATCCCAGGTCACAACACTGCTGGAAAGAGGCACACAATTCCATATGAATAAGTGAAGAAGTTCTGGAATGGAAGTGAAAATGTTTCCGAAGCTGAAAGTCATATAAATGGATAACGAGTCATGGATATTTTAGCATCTTCTGGGTACCAGAGCAGTCTCACATCTCCCACTGATCACAGAGGCATCTTTACTAGGGGTCCTCGGAGTTGGCCCGAACAGTATTCTCAACTTCTAATCCCAATCAACATCATGTTGTAATTAGTCTCCAAGACAAGTACAGCTTAAACAATTACACCACATTGCAGAGTTCTCACAGAGTAGTAGAGAGTTCATTTCATGCTGTTAAAAAACCAAAAAGTAACCTAGAAGGGGGTATGTTCAGTCTATTTCTTTAGATTCTAACCTTACTTTCAGGGCACTGATTCCCACTGAAAACACTCCAAAAATCCTTAAATAAAATTAGTCAGAGTAAAACAATGCACTAAAATACTACCCGGAAAAAACGAGACGCAGGATTTGGATCATCTGCATTTAAATTATTCCACCCAAGACACAGAAAACTGCTTAATCCATTATACTGCAGGAAGCAAGAACACGACCTGTGCATCAGAGGCAGAAAGAACAGGCATCCAAAAAGCAAGCAGCGGCCAGTTGGGATGACTTCATTGCTGGGGTGAAACAGAAGAGCAAGAAAAAAAAAAACCCACACCACTTTCAAGCAGAAAGTGGTCATGGTCAAGAATTTCCTGGCTATTCCCGACACCAGGATGATGTCACTGGAAGACAATCAAGCAGCTTCATCTCCCCCATGGCTGAGCAGCCAAGTCTTAATGTTTCTGAAGGGAGAATGGCGCTTTTCATTAGCTGATCAGAAACAGCCTGAATTTTTCAGACATCTAATAAAGTGAGCGAGAAAGGAACCCACCTTCTTGGAATTACTAGCAAGATTACATACGCCAGGAGCACATCCAAAAAGAAAGAGACCATCTGCCTGATTGCTGTGCTGCTCTGTAAGCAAAATTCACATGAAATCTCCTCCTCACCCATCATTTGGGTCTCATCACTGTCATTGTGT